AGGTTCCTATTTGCACTCTTGGTCCTGTTAAAATGCTCAGAGTCATGCACACTCTTGAGCTACACATCCCTTTCTAGAGAGACGCTATCCTTGAAAGACCCACCACCTCAGTCTGAAGAACTGCTGGCCTGATGGACAAACCTTGTTACTGTCCTCTTTGGTGAGGAACAGATGAGTCCCAAGGCTTACTGGGAAATTGGGACAGAACATACAGTGGCCTTCCTGCCATGCTTCTGGGAGTCCTGGGGGTGGTGGAAGGCTGGGTCCTGGCCAGAGAGGTCTTGATACTCTCCTCTTGATATCCTCAGTCCAGAGATAGCTGCTGCCTCCTTTGGCCTCTTTAGTTTGGTTAAGGCTACACCCAGGGGCACTCCACCCCATCCCCCTAGGAAGAAGGCAGGGGCAGTCCATTGGTTTGTCTTGTGACTCCTAGGCCAAACTGCTCCTTGGTATACGGCTGCTGAAATGTTTTTTTTTTTTTTTTTTCCGGGAGGGCCCTGGGCACCTTGGAAATATATGCATAGATTCAATTGGGCTCATCTCTTCCTTTCTCTCATCCCCACAGCCTGGGCCTGGGTCACTTGCTGTGACAGCTCCTGAGTGGTCTCTTGGTACCTGGCTGGGCCTTTTTTACCCATATAGCCTCAGATTACTCTTCTCTGCTAAAAACCCTTCAGAGGCTCCCCTTTGCCAACAGAATAAAGGCTATGTTCCTTATGTTGCTGCCTGCTCAGCTCCAGGCATTTTTCTTCCATATGGTTCCTTGCTTGGGAACCCCAACCTTCCATTCTCGCCTACTCACTCATCTTTGCAGGAACAACTCAAGTGCTTCCTTCTCCAAAGTTGGCCTGTACTCTCTCGGTCAGAGTAAAGCCTGTTGCTCCCACCCTGTCTGTATAAGTGCTGGTTCAGGAGGCTCTTGGTGCCCACCCATACCACCTGTAAGAGTGGTGTGGAGCTTGCCTAGGACCTGGGGCCCAGAGAAACTGGATCCAAAGTGCACCTGTGCAGTGGTGCGGCCAGCCCTGCATACTGTGTACCGCTCAGCCACGTCTGTTTCTTCAGTGAGCACCCGCTGCATACCTTCTCTACCCCTGCCCCAGCTGCTCTTCATTTCCCTCTTCAGATGCGCCCGGGGCAAAGCTATTACCTGAGCAGATAGCCAGAATGAAAAATTAAATTTCCACTTATCCCTCTCGCTCATGCATTCCCTGTGGACGAGTGGGGCCTGGAATTCAGGATTTGGCCGTGCCCTGTGGGGTGGCCCCCCCTGGAGAATGTGGTGGGCGCTAGCTCACGTGGGATGAAGGTTTGTGAGCTTGGCTGCTGCTTGGAAATTGCCTGTAAGTGTAAGAACAAACAGCCCTGAAGAGGACTCGGCTGGCTGAGTCCTCCTGATGGGGCTGAGAGACCCTCCCTTGGGAGGGCAGCTAACAGCTCTGAGTCCATCAGTGATTCAGCAAGCATTAGTCTTCTTTGGCTGCTGCCTAGCTGGGCTATCAACAGAGTCACCCTTATAAAAGGTCCTGTATCCTCCTGATCTTTGGAGAATGGATTCCCTGGCTTTCCTGCCCTAGCCCTGCCTCTGGGGCTAGGCAGCACCACTTAGCCCCATAAACCTGCTGGGCCTATGCCTGTGACCTGCCTGGTCATGCTGGGAGTTGGGTCAAGAAGAGAAAGTTGCTCTTAGGTTTCTTGGCCTCCTCCCTGATCTGCTAATCAGCAGTTACCTGGAAAGCCTGGGTGACAGAGGGGGATGTGGTGGTGGTGTTGGTGGCCCACCATTAGGGGGACGATATCACCATGCAGAGGGGGCTTACTATATGCCAAGAAGTGAATATATATTTTGCAAGCACATCTCCTTGCACCATCACAATTAGCCTGAGATGAGTATAATTATCCTCATATTACAGATTAGGAAGCTGAAGTTCAGAGAGGTGAAGGCCTTGCTCAGGGCCACACAGCTAGGGCAAGCCAGTATGTGAACACACTCAGGCCAAGTCTACGCCAGCCCTTTTGTGACACTGCTTCCCTGAAGGGTGAACATGCTCTTTTATGACTTATCCTAATGAGACAGCATCGGCCTGTTCTGCCCACCTCAACTGTGTCTGCTCCCTGGCCCCAGGATCAGGGCTCAGGCTTGATGAGGTTCTTGCTGAGCTTTGCTCAAACCTCCTTCAGTAAGGCACAAGTTTGTGATTCTACCCTCAAACCACAGCCTGCCAACCTGTAGGAATCCCCAAACCCAGCTTGGGAGAGGGGCTGCTCAGTTTTTCCCAGGCCCTAAGCCTGACACTTCTCCCTTAAATAGTCTTGGAGCCAACGGCAGGGAGGTGAAGAAAATAGCAAGTGACTGCTCCCTGCCTAGGTGAGAGAGGTGACAGAGTGGCCCTGAGGACAGGTTAGGGTTAGCCTCTGGACAGCTTTGGGCTACTCTTTCTGTAGCTGTGCCTTGAATGTTCCCACAAACGAGACAGAAGATCTAATGAATCCCCAAGGCTTGCCCAAGCCCTATGACTGGAGCCTGGTAACCACCACCCAAGCTCCTGTGCTCCTGAGCCTTGCCCAGCACCTCCCTAAGGTCAGCCCCTGTGCGTTACACTAACCCTCCAATGTCACTTCCTGTCTTCAGCAGCAGCACGATATCACTTCTCATCCTTGGCAGCTCTTTCTGTCACTTTCTCACTCTGCAGTTCACTCAGTGTTACAATGTTAAAGACATTCCCTCTTCCAGTTGGGAAGTTGTGATGGCAGTTATCCCGCTATCAGTTTGTTCTGATCCTTCCATTAAATAGTAATGATAATGATCATTGTTGTTGTTAGGTACTGTCGAGTCAGTTCTGACTCATAGTGACCCTACATACAATAGAATGAAACACTGGCTGGTCCTGCACCATCCTCACAATTGTTGGGCTAGAGCACATTGTTGTAGCCACTGTGTCAATCCACCTCATTTAGAATCTTCCTCTTTTTGGCTGACCCTTTACTTTACCAAGTATGATATCCCTTCTCTAAGGACTGGTCCATCTTGATAACATGTCCAAAGTACCAAAATTTTGCCATCCTCACTTCTAAGGAGCATCCTGGCTATACTTCTTCCAAGACAGATTTGTTAGTTCTTGCAGTCCGTGGTATATTTAATATTCTTCACCAATACCATAATTTAAAGGCATCAATTTTTATTCTGTCTTTCTTATGCATTGTCTATTTTTCACATGCACATAAGGTGATTGAAAATACCATGGCTTTGATCAGGTGCAACTTAGTCCTCAAAGTGACATCTTTGCTTTTTAACATGGTAAAGAGATCTTTAGTAGTAGATTTGCCCAACGCAACACGTCATTTAATTTCTTGATTGCTGCGCCCATGGGCATTGATTGTGGATCCCAGTAAAATGAAATCCTTGACAACTTCGACCTTTTCTCCATTTAGCATGTTGTTGCTTATTGGTCCAGTTGTGAGGACTTTTGTTTTCTTTATGTTGAGTTGTAATACATACTGAAGGCCGTGGTCTTTGATCTTCATCAGTAAGTGCTTCAACTCTTCTTTATTTTCAGCACACAAGGTTTTGTCTTTTTGCGAGCTGTTAATGAGTCTTCCTCCAATCCTGATGCTGCATGCAGTCTTCCTCCAATCCTGATGCTGTGTGCTTCTTGGATTATTTGCTCAGTATATAGATTGAGTAAGAATCGTACAAGAATACAACCCTGATGCACACCTTTCCTGATTTTAAACCATGCAGTATCCCCTTGTTCTGTTTGAACAACTGCCTCTTAGTCTATGTACAGGCTCCACATGAACACAATAAAATGTTCCCGTTCTTCACAATGTTATCCATAATTTATTATGATTCATACAGTTAAATGCCTTTGCATAGTCAATAAAACACAGGTAAACATCTTTCTGGTATTCTTGGCTTTCAGCTAAGATCTATCTGACATCAGCAATGATATCCCCTGTTCCATATTCTCTTCTGAATCCAGCTGAAATTTCTGACAGTTCCCTGTTGATGTACTGCTACAACCATTTTTGAATTATCTGCAACAAAACTTTACTTGTGTGTGATATTAATGATACTGCTTGATAAATTCTGCATTCTGTTGGATTACCTTTGGAATGGGCACAAATATGGTTCCCTTCCAGTCTGTTGGCTGGGTAGCTGTCTTCTAAATTTCTTAGCATAGATGAGTGATAGAAGTCATGATAATAATAACACGCCATTGGCCATTTATTGACAGATGGATATGTGCCAGGTACTTGACTTACATTATGCATAATTCTGACAACAACCCTTAAAGGCAGGTCATACTATGCTCATTTTACAAAGGAGGGTTGGTCCAGGGTCATCTTTGTCTGATACCAAAGCCCATGCTCCTTTCACATCCCCTGTAGAGTATCTTCCTGGAACATTCTAGCCTTTGTTCTCCCTATGCCTTGAGAGCTCAGGTGATGGAACTTCCTTATCCATAATGACAGAGAGAAAGATGGAGGGAAAATAGTAGTTCAGTCATGGGACAGAAAGAGCCACCATGGGTTTGGGTTATATCCTTGCTTTCCCTAAGTATCCCTGCTTGAGGTAAGCCTTGCCATTGGGCCCATATAGGGATCCTGACCCACACATGTAGAACTTAAAGGAAAGGGGCTCCCCGTGCAAGCCCACATCTGCCAAGCTGGCATCATCACATGGTGCTTTCTGTTGGCCAATCCATGGCTAGGCTCCATCTCCTCAAATGGCATTGCTATACATTGTACTGACTTCCTCCCTTCCTCTCATTGGGGGCACCCTGACTGTCTCAACCACAGCCTTAAACACACCAAGCCTTAAATGGAGAAAAGACAAAAGCAAAGTAAGGGCTGCCAATAGCCAGTGCTCAAAGGAGACACAGAAAAGCATGAAGAGGACAAACAAAACTTCCTCCAACAACACAACCCAAAGGTTAGGCACAGGCAGTGGAGAAACCAGGGAGTGGGAAGAGGCAGGGAAGGGTGCAGCTTCTTACCTGTGATATTAACCTCCACCTGGCCTGAGCGAGTGCCGATGGGGTTGGTGGCCTCGCAGACGTAGGTCCCTGCCAGGCTATAGTTGATCGGCCCCCTGAAGAAGAGGGTTCTGTTCTGAGCCTCCACACCCTTGGGAAGAGAGCCATTCAGCCTGCAGGGATTGGGGGACACAGTACAGGGTTATTGCCTCTGCCCTTTTACCAGGGCCCCATCCTCTTCAGCCCTAGGAAGCCACCCCTGTGTCACTCACTTGGCTCTAAGTCCAGTAGCCTTTGTTGAGGTAGGGTCTCTCATGGAAGGAGTAAAACCAGTAACAAATACAATAATCTCTTATATTTGGCAGTTTTATATTATTCAGTATTTTCACATTTGATTATTATAAGACTAAAATGTAAGTTGGACAAGCAGGGATTGGTCCCACTTAACAGATGAGGAAGCTGACTTTCAAGGCCAAAGAAATACAGCTAGCAAGTGGCGGAACTAGAGCTTTAATCACTGGACTTCTGGCTCAGTGCTCTTTCTATGACTTATGGTTCCTGGTTGTTGGTCTTGGACTAGTGCTGGGCTGGCAACATAAGAATCTCCTGGGTAGCTGGTTAAAAACACAGACACCTGGGTCGCAACAGCAGATCTACTGAACCAGGACCTTTGGGCCAAGGCCTGGGAATCTGTATTTTAAAAGCCACTTGGAAAACTGAGACATGTTTAATAACAGTTGTGTCCTACTTCACTATCTTGTGTTCTTGCTGGGCCTATTGCAGACTTTTTCAGATGGGGAGTGTCTTGAGGACAGGGCACCTTTTTCCTTCCTCTTGATCCCAAGTGCCACAGTTATTATACTGATGGACCTAGCAGCCAGCTTCTTGGTCCACAGCCCTGAAATTGGCAAGCAGGCCCTGCCCACTGCAGCTTTGATCCAGGAAGTAGAGCATAATAAGTAGGGTGGACCAATGCCCTCTATTTCCTGGAAAAAGAGGTAGACTCATTCTAGGCAGCTGCTTTTTGGTCACCATGTCAACCTTTCTCTTGGCTTTCTCCACAGCCCTGTCTCCTGTGTGTTCCTGACTCTTCTCTGGAAGAACCTTGGCCCATGCCATCAGAGCTAGTTGAAGGAGAGACAGGAACTTCTGAGGGCCAGGCCCAGAGACATGAAGCCAAGGATGGGCTGATGGGAGGTGGGGAGAGCACTCTACGAACATCGACATCTGGGCTGACTGGATCCCCTTCCCTGAGAATCTGGGAGTGCTAAAGAAAAGGAATAGGAACAAAGAGAGATCTGGGATGTTCCAGAAAGCTAGCTTCCCTGGGGACACCTCGATAAAAATAAATACTGGGGGTTGGGGTGGGAGTGACTCAGGCTGAATCACCAAAGGGAAATGATAAAATTCTTTATTAGGGAGAGGAAGAGTGGCAGATCATGAGGGAGCCCCCTCTGGCACCCACTGACCCTGATGTGTCAGACATAGGGATGCAGGTGGAGGGTCTTACATGCCCCCTCCCCTCTTCACAGAGAACTCTGGGCCCAGACCCTGCCTGATGTTCCTGAGGTGGGTGGGTGGGCCTCCCTGTGACCTGTGTGGCACTCACGTGGTCCAGTGGTACTCGGTGGCTGGGGGGTTGGCATCTGCTCTGCACGTGAGTTTCACGTCCATCCGCTGCAGGTACCAATTCCCGTCAAACCCCTCAATGGTCACCTCAGGCTCATCTGTGGGGCAAGGGATGATGATGATTCAAGAGGGTGAGGTCAGGAGAACAGGACTTAGAAAAAGGGGGCTTCTGAGGAGGAAAGGATGGAAGGAAGGGACATGGAAATATTCAGGAAGAGAGGGAAGAGTGAGATGGAGAGGAAGGTAACAGAAGCTCAGAGCAGAAGTAAGAATGAGAAAGGAGGAGAGAATGAATGAGAAAAGGGAGGAGGTGGGGAAGGAGCACAGGGGATTCCCAAGGAAGAAGAGTACAAAGAGGAAGGAGACAGGGGTAAGGGAGAAAGGGAGAAGGAAGGGAGGAGAGAGCAGCAGGAGAGGAGAGGTGAAGGAGGATGACAAGGGTGAGTAGTAGGGAGAGAAGCACATAGTGGGAAGGGATGGGGACACCCGCCCAGAGGCCCGGCCAGCTGGCTCCTTGCCCGCTCACACTGCACATTGAGGGTTAGACTCTCCCTGAAGCGGTCCATGTGGTAGTTGACGATGCAGGCCAGTGACTGCTTGTGGGCTTCCCGGCTGGGCACCAGGCGGTAACGGCTGATGACGGTTACTGTGCCGTTGGGGTTCCGGATCTCTTGGTACTCAGCCTCACCCTTTAGCCGTGTTTCCCAGGTCACCAAACTGGGAGGCTTCCCATTGGCTGAGGTGCAGGTGGCCACCAAGACCTTGTGCTCCTGCCCCTTCCTGGCTCGAAGGACTGCTTGGGTGCCCTCAATCCAGTTTGTGGGTTTGGCTGTGGGGAACCAGAGAGAGCCATGGGAGCAACTCTGCCAACTCATCAAAGATGCACAGGCCCTGCCTTCCCATCCGTCCTCTTCTCTCAGCTCTGCTTCATCAAAGCCTCTTCCCAGAAATTCTCACAGGGAATTCTTCATCTCTAACCTGTCCTTCCTGCTCTACTGTTTGCATCCCCTTCTGTCAAACAGGTCTCTTTGAAGTCTTGGCATGCCCATACCATTATTTGCTGTGGCTCCTTTCCACGTGGTGCCTGATGCTTTGCTTCCTGGCCACCTACAAAGTATCCCATGCATGGTAGAGCTCCAACTTGGCTCTGTGCAAAGCTGAGGGCCCTGTCCCCAGCCCCTAGTTAACTGGGGCTAGAAGGAACTGGAAGTACCATGTCGGGAGGTGCAGAACCATGCCTCCCTAAGGAGAATGTCTGGGGCCAGTGAGGCACATACTGGGATGGCCAAGTCCCCATATGTTAGAGAACAGGGTAGACTTTCACTCATGAGGGCTACTGGTGCAAGGGCCCATTCTGAACGAGCAAGGAGGGAGGGAGGGGATCAGGTCAGCTTACCCATGACAGTGAGATTGAGCTGGCTCTCACGATTGCCCTTTGGGAAGGTGGCAAACTCGCAGATGTAGACACCCTCGTCCTCCAGCTCCAGGCGAGAGAGGCGTATGGTACCGTCGGTGAAGGAGGGCTGCAAGAACTCCACACGTTTTTGGTAGGGAGGGAGCACAGAGATACCCAAGGCTGGATTGTAGATGGCCACGTTCTGCTTAGAGCCATTGGTGGCCTTCTGCCATGTGACCTGAGTAATCTTCACACTGGGCAGTGGGTTGGCAAAGCTGCAGTGCAGGACTACATCGGTGCCAATGAAGCCGTACATGGAGTCATTCACCTGGACCATCTGGGTGTGTGTACCTGAATGGGGAGACAGGAGAGGGCAGTCAGTACAAGCACAGTCCTCACCCCCAACTCCCTGTACTCTTGTCTTTTTTTTTACAGCAGTCATTATTCTTTTTATTCTGCTTTTTATTCAATTATTTTGAATTGAATATTTTTATTCAATTATTTCACAATAATTGCTTATTGTGAAAAGTATAGACACTGGACAAAAATGGAAAAATATTGAGAAGGAATGACAACAACCCATGATCCCACCATTCAGATATAGCACTGATAATCTTATAGGCTATATCCACCTCTACTCTTGATTCTCTCTATATCCATATGACCATCCACAACTCATCAGGGGCTTGCATGTTGCTATGATGCTGGAAACTATGTCACCAGTATTTCAAACACCAGCAGGGTCATCCATAGTGGACAGGTTTCAGTGGAGCTTTCAACTAAGACAAACTAGGAAGAAAGGACTGGCAATCTACTTTTGAAAAATCAACCAGTGAAAACCCTATGGGTCACAATAGAATACTGTCTCATATGGTGTTGGAAGATGAGCCCCCTAAGTTCAAACCCAATAGCTACAGCAATGAATTCAAGCATAGCAATGATGATGGAGATGCTGTAGGACAGACAGCATTTTGTTCTGCTGTATGTAAAGTTGCTACAAACTGGAGCTAACTCAGTGGCAACCAACAATGAAAACATACAACCATCTAGTTCCCCCCCCCCAAAAAAAAATCAGAATCATACTGTACATATAGTTCCATAAGCTGCTGCTTTACATTATATCTCTCCAAATCAGTAAAAATACATCCACAGCCTTGCTTTTAATGAGGAGGGTCAAACTTCAAGTAGAGCCTAGCCTAGGGGTTGGGGCTTGCTTTATCTCTGGGCCTCAGTCCTCTCATCTGATAAACGGGGCAGATAATCAATCCTCTCTGCCTCACAGTGTAACTAGGGGAACCAAATGGCATAATGCATGAGAGAGTGCATCAGGAGGCAGGAAACTCTGGTAAATGTGTGAGCTGCAGTAACAGTTGTTAGGGCCACCTCCACTGTCCTCCCCCAACCTCCAGGGTGCCTAGGTTTGGCCCTTCTTACCCAGCTAGGCAGACAGAAGGAGTGTGCACAAGGCTTGGCCTTCACTGACCCCACCTGCCTTCAAAATCAAGTTTAAATGCCTACCTTGGCCTTTAACATTCTTGCCCATCCGGGCCTTACCTTTTTGTCCACATTTCCCCATACACCCTGTTTTCTAATCCTATCAGTGTATCCTTGGAACAGCTCGTGTTTCTGTGTTTCCTTCCTCTCTCCACTTTTCTTTCCATTTATTCAACCACCAATATCCGGAGTGACTATATTCCAGGATCTATTCTAGGCACTTGGGTCATATCAAGGAACAATTCAGTCCTGGTCTCCCAAGGAGCACAGAGCCTATTGGGGCAGCACTTCTGGGTTCTTGCTGTTCCCTAAGCCTAGAATGGACATTCCACCTAGAGGTACCTCCTCTAGGAAGCCTCTTCAATCCTCTCAGCCACTTCTATTACGTCCCACCCGGCTCCCTCAATTATGGCTTTTTTCTGCCTTGGATGTGGTTATTTACAGGTCTGACTCCCCCACCAGGACAAGGTCTATGTCTTTTTCATCTGTGTATCCCCAGTGCTCAGCAAAGAATCTGGCACATAGTAGGTGCTTAGTAAATATTTGCTGCCAGACAAATTGCAATGGAAAAGTCAAGAAAGTATTTATTTACAAGAAGGAGGCAGTGATCAGTGGCATTGAATGACTGAATAAATTCCCGCTGGTCTCCCCATCGACTGTCTTATTCCTTCTAGAATGTCTTTTGCTTGAACTCCCAAGGCTCTGAGCTTCCTGAACTTTTCTGAACTTGGCTCAGCTCCCTAACTTGAGGCAGACGCCCTGGCACTAGGCTCTGCCTTCCAGCACAGTCCTCCAGCTAACCCCAGAGCTCTGTGAGCTCCCTGCAAACTGTGTCCTTGGCCACACATTTGCACATTTCATGTCCTTGCGTCCTTACTTCAACTCACTCAGTTTATTGAGTGCTGTCAATAATGTCAATAATGCCAGATCCTGTACTGACCCAGCAGCAGGGAAATGGCCTAAATGGTCCCCAAAGGGAGTTTGGGTTCACAGTCATCTTCTCTACATGATGGGGGCTTGAGAGCAGGGCAGTCTGCTCAGAGGACTCCAAAGCCTCGGGTCAGCAAGTTCCCCAGGAAAGCACAGGCCTGGTCTGTTCTGGTCACTGTGGTAGCCTCTGCGCCCAGCATGCAGTAAGAACTCAATGCTTGCTGAATAATATAGCTTTGGCCCTGCTAAGCCAGTCCCTGCCATGCTCTGAAAGCTTCCCACCTGTCTCTGATGCTTTTACTTTTCTACACCTATCCACATGCCTTCAAGGTGGTCCCTTGGTCAGAGCTACATCTTACATCTGCATATGCAGAGCACACTGCTAGGCTGGAAAGGGTACAGTGGAAGAAGCCCCTGCTGGGAGTCAGGAGAGCTGGGTTCTAGCCCCGCTCTGCCTTTAGCTTGGCCAACCCAGAGGAAGGGGACCTGGCTAGTCACTTCTTCCTTCTGAATTCATTCTCCTCATCTGTCAAACGAGCAGGCTGGATGTCCCAATTTCAATGGTCCCTTCTGGCCCTAACTGTCCAAGTCCCTGACTACAGCCCATAGCTGGGCCCCACCCTAAATACCATGCCACAGTGAGGTCAGTGGGGCAGAAGCCCAGCACTCTTGCTGACTGGCCAGTGGTGAGCAGCTAACCCTAAGTCCTCTCCAGCAGGATAAGTAGGTGCTTTCTGTCCCCCACCCCCCAAACATGCTGGAGGCTGCCCAGGGCTGAGATAATGTGGGCGTAATTGGGGAACTTTCGACACACAAAGCCAGGAACAGGAAAAGCCAGTTGTGAGAGCTTGGGCCATAGGTGAGAGTGGGGTGGGGGAAGAGAGTGAGTTCCCAGGAGCCATTTGGGATTGGTGCCAGGGCATGGTGGGCCTGCAGTGGGAAATGGCCCACCAAGCCCATTTGACCCAATCTCCTTCATTCATGCCCTCACAGATGTGGGGACAGGCAGGGCTCAGGGCCTGGCGACACAGACTGACACTCATTTGTTGCATCTTCAGCAGTGACCTCACCCTCAGAGCACCAGTGCCAGGAGGGGAGATTGCTGATAGCAGCCTGGGTGGGCGTTGGGTGGGAGGGTGCTTTTCCCAGCTGTAAGTGCTGAGGCACCCCAAAGGCCCCTCCCATTAATCCATCCTCATCAGGCGGGCAGCCCCTTCCCCACTTGTTGTCTATTGACATGAGTCTCTCCAGGGTGGCCTTCTAAGCTGTCCCAGGAGCAACACCATGGTGGCAGTGAGGAAAGTGGCTGGCACAAAGCAAGTGCTCCAGAGCCCCTACACTTTTGGCCCCAGTGATGAGCAGAGTGGGTGGGACAGGGAGGACCTGTAAGGAGTAAGCCCAGACTCACTGCTGTTTTCCTCTGCCCAGAACTGAATGTGTTAGCAGGGCCAGGGTAGGTCCCTGGGGGTGGGCAAAGGGAGCTCTTGGAGTATGGAATTTGGGGTCCTTGAGGGTGGGATCCCAGAGTTTTGGAGTTTGGGAGGATCTGGGAAGACTGGGATGGGCTGAAGAACCGCTCCACCCCCACTTCCAGGCTTAGGGACTGGAATCCAAGCTTCTGGCCTGGTCTGGATGGAGAGTGGGGAGAATTTCCCTATTTCTTTGCAGGGTAGATTAAGAGGCTTTCAGAGGGGGTGTTGGGTGAGGGAAGGAACCCAGGTAACAGGGCCCTCTTCCATGTAGGAAGAGGTGGAGTGTGCACTTCCTCTTGCAAGCCTTCATCTAGAAGGCCTGAGAGAGGGAGCCAGGATTGAGGGAGGTCTGCTCCGGGGGCATGCAGCAGGCGAGGAGACCCCTCAGACTACACAGCTCCTCTGCACAGTCCCTCTCCATCAAACATGTCTGACTGACAACCCAAATGTGACATCTGTGCCTCCTCCACATTGCCTGAGCTTCTCTCACCTTCTAAGGGCTGTCCGTCACCACCCCCGTCACACAGTATGTTGTTGTTGTTGTTATGTGCCATCGAATTGGTCCCGACTCATAGCGACCCCTCCTTGGGCTGCTGAGGCAGTATCACTACGGAGTAGATTGCCCAACCTTCCTTCCGAGGAGTGGCTGGTGGGTTTGAACCTCCAGCCTTCTGGCTAGCAGTCAAGTGCCTTAGACACTATGCTACCAGAACTCCTGTCACACAGTATAGTGGGGTTATTAAGAGCCAGACTTTGCATCCTACTTCTTCCCTTAGTAGCTAATGATTTATCCTTTCTGTGTCTCAGTTCGTACATTTGTAAGATGGGGATAGTAATATTTACCACATAAAAATTTTGAGGACTAAACGAGTAAATAAGAAGCTCTGGTGGTGTAGTACCTAACCAGTAGGTTGGTGGTTCAAACCCACCAGCCACTCCATGGAAGGAAGATGGGGCAATCTACTTCTGTAAAGATTTATAGCTCTGGAAACCCAGTGGAAGGGTCGCTATGATTTGGAATTGACTTGATTGATAGCAGTGGGTTTGTTTTTGTTTTTGATAAATGTGTAAATACATGTGAAACTTAGAGAACATTTAACACAAATTAAATGCTCAATACATGTTAGTTACTATCATCATTATGATCATCATATCATCATCTTTTATTTAAGAAACAGTGGGCCTCTCTTCCTGAAACCTCATTCAACAAGTATTTATCGGGCACCTTCTGTGTACTGGTGGCGTAGTACCTAAGGCATTTGACTGCTAACCAGAAGGCTGGCGGTTCAAACCCACCAGCCACTCCTTGGAAGGAAGAAGTGGCAATCTACTTCCATAGTGATACCGCCTCAGAAACCCAAGGAGGGGTTGCTATGAGTCGGAGTCGACTCAATGGCAGTGAGTTTGTTTTTTTTTCGATTCTGTGTACTAGAGGTATCTGGGTAGTTCAAATGATTAGAGGCTCAGATGCTAACTGAAAGCTTAGAGGTTCAAGTCCACTCAGAGGCTTTTCAGAAGAATGGCCCGCAGATCTGCTTCTGAAAAAATCAGTCATTGAAAACCCTATGGAGCAGAATTCTACTCTGACACACATGGGGTTGCCATGAGTTGGAGTTGGTTCAACGGCAACTGATTTTGTCGTTGTTGTTGTTTTTCACCATGTACTGGGAGGGACTATGTCCCTCTCATCCAGGAAGTTCTCCTGACTTTCATGTCTTTCTACTCAGCTGATGCTTTTGATACCCCAGCTTTGACAGCATGTAACATTAATCTGTACCCTTCTATTTTCTGTTTCCTGGCAAGTGTGTCAGGAAACTTCTTCTTGCAAGCCTGAGAGAGGGAGCCAGGATTGCTTCTGGCTGGGCATGCCCTCCTGTCCCTAGCAGATTGCAAGTTCCCTATGGGAGTGGGAGGGAGCAGGCTTGGCCTGGCTATGGGGTTGACCTTGTCACACCTGATGCTGGTAGAGTCCCAGGCTTGGAGGGTACCATGCCAACTCCCCAAGCAGCTAGAGCTGGTCCACAGAAGGCACTGTCTCTCTTGCCCCAGGCCCCTCTGATGTGAAATGCAAAGGCTGTCCTAGATGCGGGAAACAGACCACTGAAATGGAGCACACTGGAGTCCAATGGATGATGCAATCCATCACTTTACAGAGGAGGAGGCCAGAGTCTTGATGGGTTGGGTCATCTGCCCAGGGCCACAGAAGAGCAGCACCCAGCCCATTGCTCTTCCTACCTGCCTCATAAATAGAATCGAGTTCTCCATCTAACTCTCCAGGGCCTCATGCTGGATGGTTACCTCCTGGAATGTAATCTCTCAGTGGCTACTGCCCTTTTGAGACAGGACATGAGTACCAGTTACAATACTGTGGCCCCCACCCCTGTAGATCACTCTGCACCAGGCTTAGTGGGTACACTTTGGCTCAGAATGTGGGTGTGTTGAGTGGCTAGGGGTCAGGCATGGGCCCCAGCTGAGACCAGTGACTGCAGCTCAGTGCTACTGTCACCCAGTCTGTCTCTGCGGGAGAGGGGCTAGGTGCCAGGTGGTGGGTCAGAAACAGGGACCTTTGGAAGTCCAGGTTGGGGTGCCTGCAGAAGGCTGCTAAGTGTGAGCGGGTGGAGGTACCCACGGAACTTGCGCTCTCAGA